TAGTGGCAAATACTCCCACTGCAGACACCCATGTACCATGTATATGTGATTACTTAATCTAACACTTCTTCATGAAGTGTAAACGTTTGCATTGCAGAAATATACATACATCATTTATTATTTGAATAAGGTTTCTATAATACAATACCTAGTTGTGGTCAGTCAGTATTCGTTAAATTTGTCAATCTTCATGTTTATGTAATTATGGATGGTTTAGTATTTAAAACTGATTTTATTTAAGAGTGATAGGATTGGCCCACAGAATAACAGGAGATTTGTCAAGATATTTAACTCAGAGTACTTCTGAGTTTGTGACAAATGAAATAAAGAGACAGGACACAATTTGAAACTAAAATGAACAATCTTTATTACTTACACAAACACAATGTATGTCTGCTTGATTGTTTGACAATGGAAGGTCACTTTTATGAAATCAGAGGTAACTTCTATCTAACTGACTTTGCAAAAATCATTGATTAAACTGTGTAAACCTTACGTTATCTAATAGAATGACTATTGCTACCCATATTATTGGTCATTCTCATTCCAACTTAAGGGACATTGTAACCTCAAGGCATCACATAACTTACCATTGAAAGACAGTGCTGTCCTAGGGTGACCAGACATTGCGGATTTGCTAGGACAGTCCCGTGTTTTGGTAGTTTGTCCCAGTGCCCCGAGAAAAGTTCTTGGGATGCAAAAAATGTCCTGGTTTTATGATAAAGACATCAAACTGTCAGTCCCATCAAATCATGAATGTAATAGGCCTATTTGACTTTCTCATTGTTATAACACGTACCCTCCTGCCTCCAAAAATCTCTCGAAAGTGGTGAGAAAGCCAGGTCTGCACAGGTCTGAATGTGGAGACAGTTAAAGCTGTGCTTATCATCAGAACACTTTACACAGTCACACTGAATTTTATGACTATTTAATGAAAAAACAGAACTTCTACATTCCATTAATTCTTCATAAAAATATGTCTAAAAAGTTTTGAAGTATCGTTTGTTTGTAATTAAGCACAAAGCTATCTGTGCTCTGCCCACCACGGGTATCGAAACCCGGATTCTAGCATTGTAAGTCCGCAGACATACCGCTGTGCCACTGGGGGCCTTTCGAACTAATACTAAAACATAAAATTATTATATAGTATGTTTGAAAATGTTATGGATTCTTAAATAATTCTAATGTGTTTTAGCATATTTTAAGCTGAATTGGTTAAATTGTAAATAATTAAAGATTTCTTGGATGTATAATTTGACTATTTTTGCTCATTTGTTTTGTGTCTATCAACAAAATATTAGCTGAAATTATTTAAAAAATAATGCCAATGTTAATATATTTGGAAATATTGTGGAACATTTCAATGTATTTAAAGTAAATTGAATAAAAGATAAGGGGCAAGTTTTTCAGTTTGGAAATCTGGTCACCCTGTGCTGTCCACATCCTTACACATCATACAACATTATAGCCATAACACCTGTGGGCACAGAAAGGAATGAGAATGGAAGAATGGCAGCTAGAACTAAATCAACTTAATGACTTTCTTGACTACATGTTATGTGAAAACTGTACATACCAGAACAACTGATAAATTTCAGATTATACTGTATTAGTACAAGAAGGTATAAAACACACTGTTAAGCATATATACCACACGTTTCCTACCCTTGCACTTCAGGCTTGTCCTCAAGCTAACAACTAATTCTAACTAAAAAACAAACTAAATTTATACATGTATTTGGTCACAGAATACTGTAATTTTCTCTTACCCTGCCAACAACCTTTTAACAGCGATACTCAATAATTACATAAAAATATCCTTTAATAAAGATTACACAGTAAATTACTCTTTAGTATAAGTGAATGAACATTGTAAATGACATATCATTTGAGATAAACTAATAAATTGAGTTTTAAGCCGTTAATATATAATACCATACATTGGACGCTTCAATAGTTTAGTTTCAATAGTAATTTTTACATTGGTTACCATAATGCAAAGTCATGTCATAATAAAACCCATAGTACAGCATTGTACTCTAAACAAAATAATCACCATAACTACAGTGTTGCACACTATTAGTAGTTAATTTACCAGAATACCACTCAAAACGTTGAATTACATAAGAATACCCTTTCATGGTGAAAAAAGACCCTTCAACATTGGTTCATTAATTGATAAACATAAGACCATGCCGTTTATTAATGACTAAATCAAATTCTAATAATGACACAAATGTCACACCACACAGTAAAATCATCAATACAAAAAGGAACCCTTACAAAATAGGAATTTGCATATCAATAAGTGTTACTTAAAGAGAATGACAAAGACAGCTGGAACAAAAGCACTTAACGACTTTCTTAAACACTGTTATGTGAAAACTGTACATACCAGAATAACTGACAAACTTCGGATAATACTATATCAAGACATTAAGGTAGAAAATGCCAGGTGTACTTATTTGCCACGATGGCAAGAAAATGAAAATAAACTTATCTGACAGTTTCAAATTGTAACTTGTTCCTGTAGTCATAAAAACGTTTGTCAGGCTAAATTGATATATATATTTTAGTGGTTTAGTTTGAACAAACATTTTATTATTCGAAGCAGTTACATTTAACTTTGGGTCGTTGAAGGATAAAGTTTTATCTAAGTTTTGGTTGCAAAATAATTAATAGAAAAATAGTGAGATCGAGGCAAGTTGTTTGTTCAGACCTCAACCAATTCTGTCCAAATTTGCTGGTAGCCGA